CCTGCTGTCCTGAGTGCTCACTTGCTTCAGCCTCCAAGGTGAGGCTGAGGCTGCAGCTGTCCCCATTTGCCTAGTGTACAGGCGCTGAACAGCAAGCAACTCGGAATCTAGTGGCTCCTGGCCAGGGCCGGCTCTGTGCTTGTACCCACTCCCAGATTCTGTGCCCCTCATGAGAAAAGCCACCTGCTACCCCACAGGCTGTGCCCTCTCCCTTGCTGCTGGTCCCCTTCTTGAGTGTGATGCTCATGCATTCATGAAAGGACAGTGGTGTGGTGGCAGAAGTGTAAATATCCACGTGGAAGCAGAGTGGCTTCAGTCGAGTCCTCAAGGCTGAGAAGTTCGGAATAGTTTGGCTTGCTCAGTCTCCACATAGATGCTGTATTTACTATTTTTAAAAATTTTTGTAGGCCCCTTTAAAGCTAGCATTAAAAGCAGTGATTTACCACAGTGCTTGTCTGTGTCTGGAAGAAGAGAAATCCCGTAATTGAGCAGCCGCCCATCTCTTCCTGTAAGGCCTTTAGTGATATTAAGTGCAGTCAGCACTCCTTGCCTATCCTTGAGTCCTGCTCAGTCGAGCCAACCAGCTGTGGGTCAGAAATATTACAGGACAAGTTGCAGCTCACTGTACACCTGTAACCTAGTACGGTGGGAAGCTGAGGCAGGAAAATTGCAAGTTCACCTCAGCCTGGGCAGTTTAGCAACTTAGCAGGACCCTGTGTCAGTAAAAAGTGGGCTCAGTCCCCAGAACTAAAAAAACAGTTGCATCGGTATTCACCATGTAGGCTTTTGTTTTTGGAGGGGGTGCCATTATTTTTTAATGCAGCATAACGACATATGTAGTGTTTTCATCCTGTCAGGCTTATGTTATCTAGAAATGATTTAAAGTACGTGAGAAGTTGTGTGTAGGTTTTATCAAATAGTGTGCTGTTACAATAAAGGGATTTGAGGGCCTAAGAATTTGTAGCAGATGGGGTCCCAGACGGGGTCCCCTGTACTTTTCCAAGTACAGAGATGGCTGTACTCGGAAACACTAGACCAGTGATGGTGAGCTTTCAGTGATAACAGCCCCCTGTGGCACGCGGGCTCTACATGGGTTTGCCATGAGCAGCAGCGGGCTTGTGAGTGTTGTTGTGCCCTCAGTAGGCCCTTCCCCACCCCTCATCCCATTAGTTCAGGGCTCCCACAGACCTGGAATGGGAAGGCCGAGGACATGGGTGTGTGACTCACCTGGCTGCTTTCTGCGATTTGCCTTCTAGTGCCCAAGGTTGAAGCAATGAATAAAAGACTGGGCTCCCTGGTGGAGGAATTTAAGGACCTTGTTTACCCACCAGACTACAATCCTGAGGGAAAAGCCACCAAGCGAAAGCAAGGTGAGGAGCTGGCTGTGGAACTGTGGCGGGTTCTTCTCAAAGTTGCAAGGCTGCGGATGGCTCTGAGGGCTGGACTGCTGGACCTTCGGTGGGTGGATGAGCAACCCGAGGGCGGGGAGCTCGAGGACGAGTGCTGAGTGGTGGGGCCGCTGTTGCCGGCGTAGACGCTGAGAATTCTGCTGGGATTAACACCCCATCCAAGGAGGCGTGAGGGCATTTTCCTCTGCTTTCACCAGACCCAGAATTGATGTACAATTTAAAACCATTAACCATAGAATATATAAAGGTGTTATAGGGAAAATGATGTCCTGCTTTGACTTATAATTTCCAGTTATGAGTGAGATGTAGTTTATTGAGCTTTTTCCTCCTTGCACTATCTGTTGCTGGTGTTGTTTCCTGCTAGTGGACTGACTTTTTCTTCCCTCTGGACCTTGTGACTTATGTCTGTGGAGACAGCACTTCATGTGCTGTCACCATTCTGGAATAGTCTGGCATTAGCCAAGCCGAGCCCTGTTTGGGTCTTCGGTGCAGTGAAGCTGATGGCCGCGGTGCTTTCTCCTGTGCATCGGAAGCGACTCCCATAGGACCAGTAGACCTGTCGGGCTCCGCACACATCGACTTCAGTTTGGCAGTGTTCGTTGAACTCAGCCTGCACGTTACTGCCCCATGCTTGCCTAAGCTTGCGTAAACAGGCACTTTAGGCTGCTGAGCTATCTCGCTGGCCCAAGAGAAAAAAGAAAGGAAGGAAGGATTTGCTCACCCAGCGAGCAAACATTTTGGGTAACCTGATGGCATTACACCATTGGTAACCCCCTCCTGAGTATGGTATATTTTTTATTTTCTACTTAAATGAAGCTGTCTTTTATTTTTGCGGAAACGGGGATTGAACTGAGGTCCGCACTTGCCAGGGAAGCGCTTATTCCACTGAGCCATCTCCCCAGCCCCGAAGCTGTCTTTTTGAAGACCCCTATTTTCCCTGTAGTGTGAGGTCAGCATCAGTGTTATGGCCAGTGGTTAACTGCAAACCTGATTGTAGGAGGCCCAGGCTGTGTAGCTGGGATATCCCTGGTAGCATTTCCGGTCATTCTTTTCCTGCGCTCTCTCCCTAGATGAAGGAGGGTCTGGGGACAAAAAGCCCAAAGTGGAGTTCTCTGAAGAGGAGCTGAAGGCCCACGCCACCAAGGGCACGCTGGGCAAGCTCACTGTGCCCATGCTGAAGGAGGCCTGCAGGGTGTGCGGGCTGAAGGGTGGGCTAAAGAAGCAGGAGCTGCTGGACACGCTCACCCAGCACCTCCTCAAGGACTGAGAGCAGCGCTGCTGGCTGCCTTGGTCTCCTGCCTTCCGCCCCAGGCTGCCTGCCTCTGTTCCTCTCACCAGCTTACCAAGTGTTTCTGCGGAGCTGCCAAGTGCTGCCTGGTGGGAGCTTTCGGGTTTGTGGGACCTCTTGTTGTCGTGCAGACCGTGCATCTTTCCCGCTTTACTGTGCCTTATTCTGCTGTGTGAATAAAGGCCTAACTTTGTACTATGTAGTGGGTTTTTGTTGTCTTCAGTGCTGGGGAATGAATCCAGGGCCATTGTACTTCTTTGAGGCAGACCCTTGCTAAATTGCCCAGTCTAAATTCAAACTTGCAGTTGCTGGGATTGTAAAAGTGCGCTACCATGCCGGGCTATATATACTGTTTTTCCTTGGCTTTCCATCTAAAGAGCACTGGCCAAGGCTCTTACTTTCATTTTCTATTACCTTCACTTTCTATTTTTATGGAGTCACACATTTGTCATAATGGAAACAAGAATTCAGCCAGGCAGAGGGGGGTGGGAGGTGGTGACAGGTGAAGGGAAGGTGAATGTACAGGTATTTCAGATATGAGGTTAGTTACCCACTTCCTTTCATTACCCAGAAATCCTATCCTCACATCTACACTGGGGGAGAAAACGTGCTGTCGTTACACTGAGCCAGGGGCTGCAGCAGCTCTGTAGCCTCCCTAGTGTGGGCCGAAGTGCTTGTCATAATCCCTGTGACCTCATCTGCTTCAGCGCTGAGCAGCAGGAGCCCCTCTGACAGCCTGCAGGGCCGCAGGCACTCCTGGCGCTCTTCATTGCCCTGCTATCTTGACAAGACCTCTGCTTTTAGCCCCTTCTGTACTTTAGCCGTCAGTTGCTGTGTAACAAATTATTCTGAAAATTACTGACTTAAAACCATGAACATTTTCTCACCATTTCTGTGGATGAATGATTTTTTTTCTTTGGCGGAACCGGGGATTGAACTCAGGCCCATGCGCTTGCCAGGGAAGCGCTTATTCTACTGAGCCATCTCCCCGGCTCCCCCTTTTGCTTTTGAAACAGGGTCTCACTAGGTAGTGAACTCAGCTAACTGCCTAGTGAGTAGCCCAGTCTGGCCTTGAACTCAAGGTGGTAACTCCTGCCTCGGCCACCTAAGTGCTGGGATTACAACAGGTACGCCACCAGTTTGGCCAGGATGCTGGCCAGGTTGCAGTCTTCTGATAGCTTGATGCTGGAAGACCCACTATTTTAGGTTTTGACATCTTGGGGGAAGAACTTACGAAGCCAGGGATAGACTACACTCTCCTGCCTCCTAACAATGGTCACCAACTTGCTCGTGAGAATGCTAAGGAAGCCACAAACTTTAACTTTCCTGACTAGGCCATCACACCCTCCTGTCCAAGTCACCCCAGAATCAGGTACTGGCAATTAAACCTCTATAGTTGGGGGCCCATCTTACCCAGGCTGGCCTCAAGCACCTGGACGCTAAGAAGATGCTTCCCTCTCCCTCCCTCCCTCCCTCCTTCTCTCCGCTGCTACTGGTGCTAGCAGTCCTGAGCTGTCACCTGCCCTGGCTTGCCTTTTCCAAGGAAGTGCTAATAAAAGCTGTGACCCAGAGCAGCTCCTGTCACTTCTGACCCAAACCTGGACCTCACCCCAGCCCTATGCGGGGTGGCAAACCTCCTCCTCCTCTTGGGAAATGAAATCAATTCATTCTCGTGGCACTGCCCCCCCGGGTGTTGCCAGTCACCTGTTAATTGAGACCCTGTGAGTACAAATGAGGCACAGGCTCTTGCCCATGCCTCAGGCCTCTGGTTGTCGCCATGACAAGGCAGCTGGCTCCCCTAGAGCCAGTGATCTGAAGAATGAAGGCAGAAACATGGTCTTCTTTTTCTTAGAGGTGAGCTTTCAGCCAGGTGCGCTGGCACAGGCCTGTGGACCTAGCTAGCTACTCAGGGAGGGAGGGAGGGAGGGAGGGAGAGGGAAGCATCTTCTTAGCGTCCAGGTGCTTGAGGCCAGCCTGGGTAAGATGGGCCTTTCGTAGTTTTTCTTCTCCTTTTCTTCAGGATGGGGTCACACTGGGCTATCCAGGCTGCAGTACAGTGGCCACTTGCAGGGAGAAGCCTACTGCTGATCAGAACTTGCAGCCTGCTGGTGTCCTGCTCCTGGAACGTCGCTGCCCTGGTACCAAGCATACCCTCACTAATTTGACCACTACAGTACTGTTATTTGGACCTTGAAGAAAACTTCTCAAGTGAGCAGGCTTTGAACAGTAACTTGCCCTCAGAGAATTATCAGTGCAGGAGGTTGGAGGGGCTTGGGGAGGTGGCTTAGCACTGTAAGTGCTTGCTGGTGAGTGCAGGGTCCTGAGTTTGGTCCCTGGCACACACACAGAGAGGCTTGTCACCAGTACCAACCTTGTACATAGACTGCAGTGGCGATTTTGTCTTCAAGGCACCTGGCAATGTCTAGACCTGTTTTGGTTGGGGATGGAAAATGGCTACCTAGTGGACAGAGGGCAAGGGTGCTGCTAAACATGCTGTAACTAATGAACCATTCTTACAACAAAATCAGCCAGCTGAGGATAAGAAAGCCTGTTCTACAGGCATAACAACACTCCAATGACTGAGTTTGTACAAGAGAAGGTATTTTATGCCAGGGCAGTGCCTATAATCCTAGAAACTCTGCAAACTGGACAACTTAGCAAAACCTTGCCTAAAAAAAAATAAATTTAGAAAAGGGCTGGGATGTAGCTGAGTGCTAGTGTAACCCTGGGCTTAATCCCTAGTACAAAGGGAGAAGGGGCAGGAAGAGCAGCAGCTATCCCCACTGTAGTATGGCTAACCATTTCTTCATTCAAGTATCAGCTGGAAACCCCTTAAGAATCAGGCACTGCCACACTTTCAAGTGGAATATGGAGAGATTTATTAGGATGCTAAGAGTGAATGACACATTAGGACTCCTCATCTAGTGAAGAGTACACTTGACCCATACTGTGTCAGGACACAGGTGTGGCACCCAGAGCTGCTGCCAGCGGCCACTGAGGCAGTAAGTCCTCATCCAACACAGAAACCTCCTGCTAGTGCCCTGGCTTCCCGCCAGGTCTCCATGATCTGCCCACACCCTCCACTCCGGCATAAGGTGACCCAGCTGCCTGTGCACCTCCTGTTATTTGGGCCTTGGAAGAAAACTTCTCAAGCTATCAGCCCTCCACAGTAACTTGCCCTCAGAGAAATCCCAGTGCAAGAGGTTGGAGGGGCTGAGGCGATATCTCGATATCTCTGCGGCGTAAGTCTTGCCTGGAGAGCGCGCTGGCTCCCTGGCCCCTCCCTGGGGCTATGTGTGGAGTCCTGTGCGCATCCCTGCTGTGTACTGCTCTGCCACCCTCGGGCTGGGGCAGGGGCGGGGCTAGGGCGTGAACACATGCTGTCAAAAGCAGCCAGGAGTACATAAGGGACACTTGGACACCAGCCCATAACCTCACAGAACACACAGCCTCCCAGATACCGACTTCCCTGGCAAGCAAAGACCACTCCTTGCCATGGCGCCACATGCCGCTATTCTGCGTGCCAGTCAAGGGGCACCAAGTGACCAAGGTTGGCTCCCATCCTACTCTACACAGCAGGACAAACAGCTCCATCCTGGCTTAGGTTTCTCCTAGTTCTTTCTGCCTCTAACTGATGCTACCACTCTGCTTCTCTTGTTTGGGCATTTGCTCTTTTTTTTTTTTTTTTGCGGGAGGTGTGTGTGTGTGTGTGTTTTTTTTAAAAAAAGGATGGCAGGAGGATGGGGGAAAAGCATCCCATAAGACAAAAATAATACAAAACCCAGAAACCAAATTTAGACAATATTTTATAACAAAGCTACTGAAAACGCTACAGGCTAACACAGATAATATACATAACTTTGGAGGTGGAGTCGCATGGAGAGCCAGGGAGAGGCCAGAGGCTTAGACCAAGAGCCGTTCGATAGACTGCTGGATGGACTGGATCTGCTGCTTCAGCTGAGAGCCTTCTTTGATGGTGACGGAACAGGCGATGACTGGCCGGGAGACCCCACAGGCCCGCCCCAGTGCCTGCTTGGAGCGCACGAACACGTAGGGCACGTTCTTGTCTTCACAGAGCAGCGGGAGATGCAGGATGATCTCTAGGGGCTCTGCATCTGCAGCCATCACGATGAATTCTGAGATGCCCCTGTTGAGGGTTTTGGTGGCTGTGGGGACAAGGACCAACAGGTGGTGTGGGGCTGGGGCAGTACAGCCACCACTAAGCAGCTTCCCAGGAAAGGAATACGGGGGCAAGAAAACTGGGCAAAGGCCCAGGCACAAGCAGTCCCCTGCCCCAGAGCAACTGGGGACGCAGCAAGGGCAGCACACACCTCTTCCTCAAACCCTGCACCCTCAATCTGACTGCTGCGTTCCTGCGCAGGTCAGCATGGTCTCCTGCCTGGGCAACTGTCCTGGCCCAGCTGCTTAGCCCTGGTCAGCACGAAGCAAACGTGAGCTCCTCGGAAAGATCTCACCTGAACTGCACCTGAAAATGGCCCGCTCCCAGGGCCGGTCGAGGTGGCACCTGCCTGTAATCCCAGCACTGTGGGAGGCTGAGGCAGGAGGACCATTGAGAATCTGAGACCAGCCTGAACTACCAAGTGTGCTCAAGGCCATCCTGAGCTGCATGGTGAGACACTATCTCAAAAAAAGAACCCCTTCCCCTCAAAAAACCTCTGCCACAACCACCCTCTACTAACTCTTTCTTTACAGAACTCTTTCTTACCAGACATAGCAATTCTATCTTCCTTCACTGGAACATAAGCGCCAAGGCAGGGACTCAGCTTTGTTTACCACTGTAACCCCAGCATAGACACACGCCTGGCACAGCAGGTAGTATGTACCCAGGAGGCATGGGTCTGAAGCGGGCAGAGAACTAGCACACTGCTGCCCACCCTAGAAAACACCCTGTGAGTAGATGCAGGCGACTGAGCAGCTCCCTTCAAGGACCTGGCTGGTCCCGCACTCCTTGGCCCGGCCCCGTGCAAGGCACAGTAGGAACAAGATGGTTCCACCTCTTGTAAATGATTTTCAGGGTCCCCCAAACTCAAACACAGGACAAAATACATGAAGACAAAACAACTTTCCCAGGGCAAACTACTTACTACTTAAAGTGTAGAGTACTCTGCTGGGGATTGTGGCACAGGCCTGTGATCCCAACGTTTAGGGGGCCTAAGGCAGGAGGAACCCGAGTTTGAGGCCAGCCTGAGCTACAGAGGAGAGCCTGTTTCAAAAATTAAAAGCCAACACACACAAAGACTGGCATGCAGCCTGTAGGTGTTTTTTTTTTTTTTTTTTTAGTACAGGGTCTACAGGGTCTCACTACATAGATTGGACTCGTGATTCTTCGAGGTTCCAGCTTCCCAAGAGCTGGGATTATAGGCGCGTACCACCATCGCCTCTGGGTGGGGCCGGCACTTCGTGACAGGGCTAAGCAGGCCCTGAGCTATCTGGCTGGGCCTTACAGCCTCTAGGTTTAACCCCTAATACACAAAAATTCTTATTATCTTTGGGCAATAATGTCATGGCATATGTATTTATTCTACTAAAAAACTGCCTGTTTAAAGACAAAAAGGGAAGCATTTCTGAGAAGCAAATCAAATTCTTTTTTTTTGGCAGAACCGGGAATTGAACTCAGGTCCTTGTGCTGAGTTACGGCCCCATCAAATTCTTTTTTTTTTTTTTTTTTTTTTTACGGAACTGGGATTGAGCTCAGACCCTTGCACTTGCCAGGGAAGCGCTTATTCTACTGAGCCATCTCCCAGGGCCCCTAAATTCTTGATAGTTACATACTCATTTTGATAGCTCTAGAGAGGATATGAAAATACACAGTTTTCAATAATTGCCTTTCAAAAAAGTCCCATACAATAAATAAAATAAAATGCAGTTATATATTAAAAGATAAAGAAGCTAAATGTGGCAGAGTATTAACAGCTGGTCTAAAAAAAATCTGAGTGTATTAGTCCTTAGCATGTAATCAAGTATGCACTGCTTTTAATTCCTCCTATTCAGCCAATATCCAGGGCATGACACTAGAGGCCTACAATCTCAGCTGCTCAGAGGGCTGAGGCAGGAAGATTGCTTGAGCACAGGCGTTCAGATTTGAGGCAACACTGCAAGATGGGGCGGGGGGAAGGGAGAGGGAGGGCCGGGGGCAGGGAGGGAGAGAGGAACAGGGCCGAGGGAGGACAGAACCCCAGCAGCAATCCTTCCTAACAGGCCCGGCAGGGCCAGCGCCTTTGCCATGTCCCCGGCAGCCCGTCCCTGCCTTACCCTCATTGGCTCCTTTCCGGAGCTGCTTGTAGTTGCACGACTGCTGGACGAGGTCCAGTAGCTTCTTGGTGAGGTGCGCATCTGCGAGCGGATAGGCCTTCGGGTTTACATCAGCCTCAGTCTGGGGCGGGGAGGAGACACAAGCATCAGTCACGCTGGACCAGAAGCCCCTTCAGAGGAGTTCCCAAATACAATCGAAACTGAGACACAGTGGTCAGCTTGCTTCACTGCAGCCCCACCTGGACGCACGCACACAATGGCAGCCTGTCCACTCTAAACCCTAGAGAAACCAATATACAATACGCAGGGGAGTAAACTACCCAGCCCGACCGACAGCACATGTGACACACGTACCTTCATGTGCCTCTCTTTGGCCCGCTGCCTGTACTCTGGGACAGTAACTACACTACAAGCCAGCCCCAAGGTGCATTGCGGGGAACTGAGTTTCCATGCAGCAGCGACGCTGAATCTTTTAAAGCCTTAACTGGTAACAAACAGCTGACTGCGGCACACGTGCCAGAATTCACCATCACTGCCGCAGAGCAATTTTAGTTTAGATCTCATATCCCACTCCAAATTCATCTAATCAAACTTACGGTATAATTTACAGTAAATGCAGTACAAAATTCTCTCTCCATAATGTATGCAAATGTCTCAGTCCTCAGTGGGAACCCTGGTTTCCAACACATGAAAATACTTCCTTTGTTATTCTACTCTATAATATACCCAAATCATACTATGAACAAATGCACCAGGGTCAAAATTGCTTTTTCTTCTTAGGATATAATCTGCCACAGCCACACAGTGAGGGTATTCTGTGCAAAAGTTACATTCATCTTCTTGTAGTAATCAATACACAACTAGGAGTTTATATGTACAATTGTTCCTGTGTTGCTTTTTAAAAAATATCCTCTTTAAGCTGGGCATGGTGGTGGATGCCTGTAACCCCAAGCATGTGGGAGGCTAAGGCAGGAGGACACTGCTGGTTTGAGGCCAGCTTGGGTTACATGGTGAGTTCAAGGCCATCTTGAACCACACAGCAAAAACCTGTCTCAAAAAAACCCAATAAATAGATAAATAAAATAATCTTTTTTTTTTCAAATCTACAAAATATCCACATAGCTCAAAAGTCAAACTATGCTTATAGTGTCAACACAGTGTTTTAAAAACTGGTACAAGGAAACAAGCACCCATCCTGCCTTCCCCTCTCAAGAGGGTGCTGCCAGGTAACCACACAGTACATGCCGGGTCTCTCTTCTGTCACCATCCTACTTAATAAACCACACTGCTGCCACCTGGTCCTATGACAATACCTGTCAGGGCCCTACTCAAATTGAGAAAACTGAACTGCTATAGTTTCGTGTAGTTCTGTATCCTGTGCCAGGCCTCTGAGAAAGCAACTTTGAAACCACCAATTTACCTTTTGTTCTTTGCTTCAGTCCCTTTCCGCCTACCAACCAACCTCTTCTGCTCAGCCCACCAGGACACGTATTCTCTTGTGGAATAAAGTATTGCCCAATTTTAGAATGGCAAAACGAAAGCCATTCACATCCCTCTTTAATTTTTTAAAATATTTATTTGGTACAGGTTCTCGCTACACAGCTCCGACTCAGTGATCCTCCTGTCTCAGTTTCCCCAGAGCTGGGATTACAGGCGTGCGCCAACACACTTGGTTTGGGTGGCCAGCATGGCATGCGCTACTGGGGATTGAACCCATGTTTATGCACTTGCCAGGCAGGCACTTAGACCCCATCCCCCATTCACATTTTTAAATTGCTGTGATTCTTATCCTTTGACAAAAATGTTTAATGTTTAGAAAATTGGTGAGAAAAATAATCTCTTTGCCTAACACAGAAATTAAATAAAGCTAAGCATGGCAGTGTACAACTGTAATTTCCCAGCACTTTAGGCTGAGGCATGAGGATTTCATGCCCAGCTTGCATAAATGAGACCCTGTCTCAAAATAAAAAACTAAAAGGTCTGGGACTCCAGTTGGGTGGTTCCCAGGCTCAGGCTCCTGTTCTAAGGAAAAGCTTCATTAAGAAAGACTCATGAGGTTTGGGAGCCAACATTAGAATGCATCATAGGGCAGCAAGGCTAACAGATTTTCACTCATACATGAAGCACCTTAGCTAACCGGACTAATAACTTCATGTTAGTTGAAATTCTTCTAAACTCTTAAACACTAAAGGTATTATTCATTACTGAAAAAGACTGATTTGTACTATATCTCCCTTTAATAATTAATTTTTCCTCCAGGCGCTGGGAACTGACGTGAAGTTGTCACTCAGCCCTTTTAAAATTTTGTATTTATTATTTTGAGGAAGAGTTTGGCCCAGGCAGGGGTGAAAATTGTGAACCCCTGCCCCAGCCTACCCAAGTCCTAGGACCACAGGCCTATACTACTACACTATTTTTTAAAAAAGTAATGGCACTAGGGCCGGCCAAATAGCTCAGCAGACTAAGGCCCCTGCTTTGAGAACTGCAGGGACCAGGGTTCAGCGAATGAGACTAAGCGTGGGGGTGCGCCTGTAATCCCAATGCTTGGGAGGCTGAAAACAGGAGGATCACTGAGTCCAATATGTGTAGGGAGATCCTGTAGTCCCTGTACTAAAATACAAGGGGCCGGGGAGATAGCTCAGTAGAATAAGCCCTTGCCTGGAAAGCACAAGGGCCTGAGTTCAATCCCTGGTTCTGCCAAAATAAATAAACAAATAGAAAGTAAAAAAAAGGGGGGGAGGGAACGAGGGAGGTAGCACAGTACAATAAGCGCTTGCCTGGCAAGTGCAAGGCCGTGAGTTCAATCCCTGGCACTGAAGGAAAAAAAAGTAATGACACTAAACAGCACTAACTTATAGTTTTATTTTATGTACTCTTTCAATTTTATTTTATTGGAATGTTTTATATAAAGGTCAATAAAACAGTATTTCATTACTTAAAAATAAAGTCCTGAGGTGTATTAATAGCAGAGCAGTTGTGAATAAAATGATGTTAAAATACGCCAGCTCAACCCGCCAACCGAGGGGGTGGCATGGCCTCTTTTCCCTCCTTCTACCTCATTACCTTCTCTCCCCTAACCATCTCCATTCATTCCTCACTTGTTTTTCCTCAAATCTTTTATCTGAGATTGAGTCTCACCATGTAGCCCAGGCTGGCCTCAAACTTGTGGCACTCTTCCTGCCTCAGCCTCCTGAGAGCCGGGATTACAGGCTTGCCCACCACACTGGGCGGGCGCCCTGAGACCTTCTTATAAATATACAAACAGGTACATTTGTATCCAGGTGCCACCATCATGCACACTGCTGGGCAGTGGCGGCTGCAGGGCTAGCCCTGAGCCCGGAGCCCGGAGCCCGAGTCCACAGCCTGCTGTGGTTCCTAGCGGCGCTAAGTGGGACGTCGGGAGGAACCAGACACACTCATCGTCACATCTGCCCTGTGTGTTCTGGCGAAGTGACGGAAGACTTCAGAGTGAGGCCAGCGGTAGGTGAACGGCGGGCGCTCACCTCTATGGATGGTGGGCAGGAACTAGACAGGCGGGAGTTCTCTAAGGAAGGGATCGGGGTGTCGGGGCGGCTGGCGATCCTGGTGCCTGGCAGGCTGAGGCGAGCCTGGGCTACACAGTGAGTGAGGGAGGGAGTCTGTCTGTCTGTCTGTCTGTCTCTCTCTCTCTCTCACACACACACACACAAATAGAGAATGAAAGGCCTTCATCTTATTTGCTCTTCTTGATATATTTTAGAATCAGCTTCTTGAAGTCCACCAAAGAAAGATTACTGGCATTGTGTGAGGATTAGTTTTGATGTAAACCAGATTTGGAGAAAAAACCTTTAGGACACAAAATCTGTCAACCTACTGGGATATTTATATATACTTAGCTCCTCAGTGATTTTTATTATTTTCTCCAGCTGGGCTTGGTGGCACGGGGCCACGGGAAGCTGAGGCAAGAGGACTGCTGCTTAAGGCCCGCTTCTGCTACATAGTGAACTGGAGGCCAGCCTGAACTGTGTCTCTCTTAAAAAAAAAGGGGGGGGGGCTGGGGAGATGGCTCAGTGGAATAAGTGCTTCCCTGGCAAGCCCAAGGGCCTGAGTTCTAATCCCTGGTTCCGCAAAAAAAAAAAAAAAAAAGAAAGAAATCCTCCATAAAAGCTTAGTATCTTTAGATTTATTTCTAGTTTGTTTGTTTGTTTGTTTTTTCCCCCCAGAACTGGGGACTGAACTCGGGCCCTTGCCAGGCAAGCACTTATTCTACTGAGCCATCTCCCCAGCCCCTAGATTTATTCCTAGACATTTCAGGTTAATAATACTTACAAGCCGGGTACAAGCCTATATAATCCCAGCACTCAGGAAAAAGGACTGCTAACTTCAGCACCTTAAGCAATTTAGTGACTTCTTTCTTCATTTATGTATTTGGTACAGGGCCTCACCATGCAGCTCGAACTCCCAGTGATCCTGTTTTCAGCCTTCCCAGCCCTGGATTACCGGCGTGTGCCACCATGTCTGGACTCATTCACCTCAGTGAGCCCCAGGCGGGGCCATTCCTGAATGTGGGACTGGGAATCGAGCCCTGTCCCTGTGCTTGCCAAAGCAGGGAGGGGCTTAGTCTGCTGAGCTAAATCGCTGGCCCTGTAACTTAGTGATTTAGTGAGATCCATTCTCAAAAATGAAAAATAAAAAGAGGTGGAGATGCAGCTCAATACAAAGAGCCCAGGTTTAGTCCCAAGTACAGAAAAAACAAAACAAAACAAAACTGACTTCAGTGCTAGAGATGCAGCTCAGCAAGAGAGTGCTTGCCTACACGCAGGCCGCCTTGCAGTTGGTTCCCCGCACCACACAGTCAGGACACTTGCTTCACTAAGTGTACTTAGAATAATTTACTTCTGCCTTCCTCATATAAACCTTTTTTTTTGGTACCAGGGATTGAGCTCAGGATCTTGCGCTTGCCAGGCAGGTACTTATCCCACTGAGCCACCTCCCCAGCCCCTAGCCAATTTTAGTTTTTTTTTTTTAGATTAGTTAATTTTTATTAGTAGCTAATATGTAGTGGTCTTTTTTTTGGGGGGGGTAATAAAAATCCTCTAAAATTAGATACAGTGACAATTACACAACTCTGTATACCTGTGAAAAGCCAATGAATCTTTGTTTTTTTGGTCTTTTTGACACAGGGTTTCGCTATGCATTTCAAGCTGGTGAACTCAGTTTGTAGCCCAAGCTGGCCCCAAACACAAGAAGATCCTCCCGCCTCAGCCTCCCGAGTGCTAGGATTATAGGCGGCCATCACTACAGCCTACCAAGTGCTAGGATTACCAGCATGCACCACAACACCCCCTATGCCTGGCCTGAATCAAATTAATAAAAAGCCTCTAAAATTACATACAGCGACAGGTATACAACTGTGTCTACCTGTGAAAAGCCAATGAATAAAAAAAATTTTTTTGTTAGATGACAAAAACCAAAACCAAAACAAAAACAAAAACAGATGAAGTTTATGACATATAAAACTGGAGCATTTAAAACTCTTTTTAATTTAAAATCAATATATTGGGCTCAAATCTTTTTTATCTTCTCCTCGTCCCACCTGCTTGCTCTCTTTCCTTTCTTTGAATTTATTACTATTTGTTTCATTATTTCCCCCTTTATAGGTTTCAAATTTGTTCCTATCTATTTTTTTTTCAAACAGAACCTATCTAGCTTTTTCTTTTTCTTTTTTGACAGGGTCAGCCTGAATCTGAAATCACTATTTAGACCAGGCTGGCCTTGAATTTGCCATAATCCTCCTGCCTCAGCCTCCTGGAAGCGGGAACAACGGCTATCACTACCATGCCCCACCATCTTTACTTTTTTTTTTTTTTTTTTGAGAGGTGAGGAAGGACAACTGAATTCAGGGTCTCTGCCTTAAACTACATCCCCAGACCTTTTATTTATTTTGAGATAGGGTCTTGCAAGGTTACAACATTGCGTAGGCTGGAGGTGAACTTGTGATCCTCCTGCCTCAGTCTCAGTCTCTCACAGTAGTGGGATTGCAGGCAAGTGCGACATGCCCAGCCCAGTTTTTAATCCTTAAATATGTCAACAATTTTAAAACCACTAGTGTTTACAGACTAGTAGCTTGTAAATACAAGTTAAACTTGCTTAGTATATATTTATGTTTTAATTTACGCTACATGGAGTGAATGAAACTGTACTGTTACTCAACTTAAATCCCTAGCTTGGTCAGTTTTCTCTCCCTGGATACTAGCGAACCAAAACCTACAGGGTTGGTGGGTATGGCCGTGAATACCTGCAATTCCAGCCAATTGGAGGCTGAGGCAGGAGGATCACAAGTCTGAGGCCTGCCTGGGCTACATAGTGAGTCTGAGGCCAGTCAGAACTAATTATGAGATCCTGTCTCAAAAACAAAATAAATCTACAGGGTTTTAACATATATAGTCACAGGGCAAACAGACTGTGTTTGCAACATCTGTCCCATAGATTACAGTGGCGCTGAAAAATTCCTATTGTCCAGTGACACCTGAGCCTCTGTAAGGTCCTAGCACACTGCCTTACTTGTGTTTGTGATGATGGTTGTGTTAGCAAACCTACTGCTCAGCTAACCGCATCCACATGAAGTATAGCACACAGATAGTGTACAACTCGGGGATAAAGTGCCCTGCAGACAGGAAAGAAGGGAGGAAGAAAGGAAAACAGTTTTGTACAACACATACTGCTTGGTAAATAAACATTCACGGGAGGTTATGGGGATGCGCACAAGTAATTTCAACACTCTGAGGCCCACGCAGGATCCCAAATTCAAGCCCAGCCTGGGGAATTCATAGTGCGGCCCTGTACCCAAAAAAATTGAAGAAAAGGCTGGGGCTGTAGCTCAGCCAGAGGCCAGCAGCTTCCCTAACACACTACTAGTTTGCTGCATCTCTTGGTTTTGTAGGTGCCTGGACAAGGATGACTTGTAGGTGCACTGACCTGTGAACGTGCATGCTCACTGTGATGTGCACACACCTCAAAATGTGTTAAACACAATATTCAGAACACACTTCTGTCCTTAAGTGATGCTTGGCTGTACTGGACACTGTGCATCAATCAATCAAGTATTAGGGTTCTGTTTAACCCATTACCCCTTTTGATCTCAACATTCTTGTACACTGTTATTCCTATGGTGCAGCCGAAGCAAACTATTGCAGAGTTCCATCAGATACGACCAGATTCCAAAGCTTTTTATGAAACTATTTAGAGGGGCCCTGGTTTACAAATTTCATGTTCTACACTCTGTACTGGCTTTAAAACAGCATTGGGGAGCAGAGAAGAAAGCGGGAGGGTATTCTTTTTTTTTAAAATTTTTTATTTATTTATGTGTGTGTGTGTGTGTGTGGCCAGCTCAGCCCACCACGGGGCGGGGCTGGCTGACATGTGGTGCTGGGGGATTGAACCGCGGTCCCTGTGCTTTTTGCTAAGCTTGTTTTAAGTAGGTGCTTTAGACCACTGAGCTATCTCACCAGCCCCCGGGAGGGTATTCTTGAAGGGACTCACGTTCGATTAGATTAAACCTCACTCCAGCCAGGAGTCGGGGCACACCCTTGAGATCCTGCACTCTGTGAGCTGAGGCAGGAGGATCAAGTTCCAGTCCTGGTGGGGCAACTCGGCAACTCCCGTCTCAAACTTTAAAAAGGGGTGGGGGATGTATCTCAGTGTGGGGGCTCTAGCTTCAATCCCTAGCACCGAAATAAAATAAACCTCGCTACAGAAGTGAGTAGCTTTGCAAAATTCTTCCTTCCTTATTAAGTGCCAATAGGAATGAGCTACAGCAGCACACCGCAATCAGAACTCGCCCTAGTTCATCACCAAGTAGACAACTAAGCGCGACTGTCACTCGTGTTGGCACCAGGACCTCTGATGCCTGAAGGCACTGACTCTCAAGAGCCCTTTCTGCACTGCAGCCTGGTAGTCGGCGGTCCCTCCACATTCATCACGGTCCCCCAAGGCAGAAACTTTTAAAAGTCCCTGCCACGTGTTAACTCGCTACAAGCACGATGCGCAAACTGATGAAAACCGCCCCCTCCCGAACCCAGCAATAGGATGAGAGTGGTTCGGTGATGGCGAGCCGAATCCCAGGCTCCCACGCCGTCCTCTGTAAATAGCATACAAAGAGAAGGGAGAAAAGGAGAGGGACTGGAGTTTTCCTCCAACTTTCTCCCACGTGGGTCTGTCTTTTTTCTGGGTTGGGTCATGCTCTCCTCTGCCGATCGCAGACCTTCCAGGACGCAAGCCGAGCGCCGTAAAGCACACCCGACTACCGGCGCCGGGACACTGAAGCCTCCCTAGTTCGAACCTCGGCCCCTGTGAAGGTACCTTCCGGCGGCCCGAGTTCTAACTCGGGGCCGGGGGCCGCACACAGCATGGAGCGGTTAAGGCGGCGCGCATTCTAAGCCTCCCGCACGACGGCAGGCAGCGGAACCCCGAGCCTCCCGCCTGTCGGGGCTTCCACCAGACTCACGCACTCACCATGGCTGCGGCTCCCGGGAATCCTCTCTATCCACGACCAGCCGACGTAAGAGAAGTCCAAAAACTGCACCGAACGAGCGGAAATGGTCGCAACCGCGAACCGGAAACGGAAGTGACGTCACAGCAAATGGGCGGGCCCTGCTCTCCAGGGGCGCCGCGGAAGTGGCCTTGTTCAGAGCTGATTGCTCTGCTAATCTCATTAGCGTGTTGCTATAAATTTTTGGCTGAAACTATAAATTAGTCAAGAAATGGCACACCAGGGCCGGCGAGATAGCTGAGCGGAATAGCTCCTGCTTTGGCAAGTGTAGGGATCAGGGTTCGATTCCCGTTCCCGCAAGCCCTTCCGGCCTAACCCTGGGAGCGCGCTGAGCTGCCAACAAGTCCGGGTGTGGTGGCCCACACTTGTAATCCCAGCACTGGGGAGGTTGAAAACAGGAGGATCACTAGGAGTCTGAGCTTCGTAGTAAGACCCTGTACCAAATACATAAAATGAAAAAAAAAAAATCTCACACCAAAACCAAAGGATTTCAATGGCGTCACCATTCCGTTCAATACTGGAAGATTGAACCCACGGATGCTCTACCACGGATGCTCTAGCACTGAGCCACATCGCCAGCAACATTCTCGCAACTATTTTTTACTTTTTTTTTTTTCCTCTGGAAGCCAGGGATTGAACTCAGACCCTTGTGCTTGCCTGGCAAGCGCTTATTCAACTGGGCTATCTCCCCAGCCCCTTAGCTTGTTTGCCTTTTTACTTTTTTGAGACAGGATCTCTTTAGGTCGTCCAGGCGGGACTCTTAATTTCTGATCCTATGACCTCAGACTTCCACAGGCATGCCTCCCCTCGCTTGAATTCTGTCAGTTCTTTTGTTTTTGCATTGAGAATTGAAGTCGGGACCTTGTGCTGGCTAGGCAGGCACTTGTGCCGCTGACCTGTATGCCCAGCCTGTCAGTGCATTTTTTTTTTTTTTTAAGAGAACAATTTGTTATAATGAGCCAGAAATATAAGATTCTACTGAAATTCCAACTGACAGATTATGGTTGAACTGAAATCTTTAAGGGAAAGCAGGTCAAATAAAGCCAGTAGAGAAGCCCAAACAAACATAAGGATAACGGATTTCAACACTGAGTAGCTCTAGAACCCTCTACCTTCAGCACTTTGTCTGTCTTCACTCTCCTATTTCCTTTTCCTTCTACTGCACCTACCAAACCAACTGGCTTCTGCTTCTATGGTCTAGGCAGAAGCCAATTCAACCTCTTTGGACATGATACAAGGCCCAAGAAAGCTTCAAAATCTCAGTTGGGGGACAAAGTACACAATCCAACTCAGCACACGGGTTATCATCTCTGCGGTATCAAGAAACATGGTAGTAATTTTAAAGAAACTGAAGGTGCTACTCGTAATGTGGCCCTGTAGCAAAAGCAGTGCTCCTACACTGGTAACACAGCAGAATGCATTTTTCACCAGTATCTTCTCTTTTTTTAACCAGGAATCAAACTCAGAACCTCATGTTTGCAGGCAGGCACCATG